CACCTGGTCTCCTTACATTCACCTCCCTCAGCCACTCACTCGCAGTTGCAACACACATAGGGCGTACCGCACCAAAGGGCGCACCGCACATTTTGAGGGGAAAAAAAAGACGTTTATGTGCGCCTTATAGTCGTGAAAATACGGTACCTTTATCCTTCCAACCAAGTCATACAATTCAAATTAAATTCACTGTAGATAAATGTCGTCTATGTGAGCAAGAAGAGGAATTAACTCATCAACTTTTTTGTTTTTGTATTATAGTAAAACTAAAACATTTTTATCCTCAGCTCATAACTGGTTGCTCTCTAAATCCTTAACATAAAAGTTCTCACCCCTCCGCAATGAAATTTGATATTATTGCCCAAGATAAACAAATAGAATTTGTAATTAGTAATATAATTATTATGGTCAAATTTTTCATACACAAATGTCATCTTTACAAAACTCTCTCTACAATCATAGCATTTAAAAATGAAATAAATATACATGCTTTGTCCTTAAAGAAAATGTCTACCACCAATGCCTAAAGACTATGCCTTTATGTCTGAAGGTCATCCTTAATTACCCATTACATCTTATTCTTTCTTTTTCAATCTAGCGATTGTTCCTTGTTAATGTTTCTATCTTTATTTGATGATCTGATTTACTATAGCATAAGTTTTATTAAATTTTCTTTATTGCTATTTTGCACTTTGCTTTACTAAGTTTTTTTTGTTGTTGTTGAATGCAAGATATTTTGCAGATATATTTTTATATGAGGGGGCCATGGAGAAGATTGTTTTGAAAGCTCTGACTGGAATATGTTCAAAGCTGCAGCAACCTATGACAACATATTAAATATAGATGAGTATGCCATGACTGTGTCAGCCTACATCGATAAGTGCATTGAGGACATCAGCATCACAAAGAACATCACCAACCAAGCTAACCAACGACCCTAGATGAATGGAGAGGTTCGGAAATCACTAAAAGCACGAAACTCAGCTTTCAAGTCTGGTGATAAGGTACTAAGAGGCACTCAGAACAGCACATGCCAACTTGAACCATGCAACCAGATCAACGAAGCAGCAACTTTTCACAGCCAGAAGATCCAGGATCTTTTCCACGACGACAGCAACACCAGGAGGATGTGGCAAGGCATACGGGCAATCACAGACTACAACACCCCCCACCCCCCGGTAGATGCAGCAAACACTGACTTCCTAAATGAACTAAACACATTTTTGGAAGGTTTGACGCACTAAACAGCACTCCAGCAGTGAAAGCTGTTCCACACCAGGGGTAGGAGGCCCTCAACCTGGACGTAGCTGAAGTGAGAAAGACTGAGGAGATTCAATCCAAGGAAGGCCCCAGGGCCTGATAACATACCTGGACGGGTGTATAAGGAGTGTGCAGATCAGCTGGCTGGTGTCCTCACAGACATTTTTAACACCTCGCTGGACCAATCCATAGTGCCAGCATGCTTCAAGTCTGCCACAATCATTCCAGTCCCAAAAAAGCCTCAGGTCACCTTACTGACTCCAATCATGATGAAGTACTTCAAAAAGCTGGTTAAAGAACACATCGTCTCCAGTCACCTGGAGGAGAAGAACACCTACAGTGGATGCTGTTCCTGGACTTCAGTTCAGCTTTCAACACCATCATCACACAGAATCTAATAGGAAAAATGGAACAGCTGGGATTCAATACACCCCTCTGCAATTGGCTACTAGACTTCCTCACCAACAGACCTCAGTCAGTCCGGGTCAGACAGAACACCTCCGATCACCACCATCTCATCATCCTAAGCACAGGCTCCCCTCAGCCTGAAACATCATCAATGACCCCTCACACCCCCACCATGGACTGTTCTCCCTGCTGTCATCTGAAGAGGCTTTGCAGCATTCAATGCAGATCCAGCAGATTCTGCAACAGCTTCTTCCCCACCGCCATCAGACAGCTGAACTGTTCAGAAAACTCTAAATCATGTCACATACTCTGCATCACACTGATAACACCAAACCGAAACACTGCATAATTGCACCATGCATATTTAATGCTCTGAACTTTCATATCAATGCATGTTTTTTTTTTCTCCAACACTGTTTCCATCTGATCACTACTGCACTTTAAATAGAAATGAGAGCTGTACAAAACGAATTCTGGTGCAACAAAAGTTGTCTTTCTATATATATACTTTAGATTTACTTATATCTTTCTACCCCATTTATATCAATTAATTTTCACCAATTTCTGAAATGAATCGGCCTCTTCACTTAAAAAAAAAATGCACCAGCATAAGCCCGTACCTGCTCCTGATAGGGAACGCCCGTTAAACCTGCGCGTGCCCATTTCTCACCGTGTCACTAGCAGTGATGTGAAATGCATTTCTCCAAATAGCCAAACTTTACCTGTCGAGTAGAAATGTCGCAACCGACGCATCAGTGGGAAGCCCGACCTGCGCTTTCAATGTTCGCCATCGTGTGAAAGAAATTCCCAAAAACACTCTGGTCTTGTTTCTCTCCTCTGAGGCCTTTCTCTTATTTTCATAAACCTCATAGACAGTTTTTCTCTTACGACCCTCGGCCATTTTCAAAGAACCGCGATGAGAAAGGCGATCCGTTTTAGTTTTGTTTGTAGCTGAAATGGGCGGAGTTTCGTGGGAGGGTACGATTGTTTTATGTCAGGCGCACACCGGTAGGTAACACGCCACAAACTGTAACATGTATAACATATATACTTATATGAAATTCTCAGCAATAAATGTTTATTTTCTATATATCATCTCATTAATTATCATATATATTGTTGTTTTTATAGGGGAAAAGACATATGCCTAAAACGTTTTTTTTTTTTTTTTTTTACTTCATGCCAACTTTCTTCTTGGCTATTATAAACTGTCCAGTTTAAACTGTCACCAATACTGTATTCACAAAAAGCTAAATCTGGAAAGTTGTCAGGTAGATACTCTCATTTTTAAACATAAAAAAAAAATACCTAAAATATATATCAGTATTTAATTTAATTTTTTTTCCACTAGGTGGCGCTATTAATCTTCAAGTTATGGTTAAATCGGTCATTTTTGACCAGAACAGTGTTAGAAGGTTATACTATGTGTGGAGAGCATCCATTCACCATCTTCATCTCATTTTTGACATAGGTGGCATTTAGAGGCTTTTGCATCTGAACCCTTCATATGTCATTTTATGGGGACATAAACAGTTGATAATTGTCCTTCAAATAAATTTAAACTTTCTAATAAGTCTCATCAGCTAAACTTCCAATGATCTAACCTGGAAGGCCCTGGCTCACGCTGATTTTCAGGAGTTTCAGCAGGGGAGTTGGGTGGTGTCTCTGACTGTAGCAAAGCACTGGTCCTGTTTCTGGCTCTGGTTTGTCTTTTTGCCTCTCTCCATTTCTTTCTTTTTGCCCTCTTCACTCTCTCACTGAGCTCATTGACACCCTTCTTCTTTCCAGTCTCTCTGTCTTTTTTCCATTTGACCCTTTCTTTTTCAAGGTACTTTCTTCTTCTGTCTGGGCCAGCATCACGACGTTCCCGATATCTCCTTGCTATCTCAGCTCCTTTTGATCTCATTCCTTGAAAAAGACGATTCAAAATGTTCCGTTACACATTTTAATTGGCAGTCCCTGTAAAATAAGCTTGCCTTATCAAACTAGGCTTGGTGATACCGATATCGCCAAAAAAATTGTCCAATTTTACTAAGTATAGCATGTACTGTTATAAAATGTGTGTAATAGGTGTTGTAATATGTGTAAAATTATCAGCATGTGGTCTTAACTATGCACATGCCCTTCCTGCCATAAACCATGTCCACCCTGTCAGCAAGCCTTCCATGACAGGGTGGACATTTTTGGCTAATCTTAGCATTTAATGAGCACATGGTGGACCTTCACTTAGCAACATGCTACAGTCAGCAAGCTGACTATGTACTAATTTACAAATATATTTCAAAGTTTTGATAGGTTTTTCTATCAATTGATATTTCACTATGACAGAGCGGACATGTTAAGCTTGACAACATCCAACTACA